ATTCTTTATGGATTTAGTACTTCCGTTCGTCTTCATAATGGCTTCGATTTCTTTGCATTCTATACTGTTATATCCTACCTCATAAAACATAATAAATTTGATAAAAAAAATAAAATTTATTTTACAATCAAAAGGAGAATATGAGAGATTGATAATAAGAAACAGTTTTTAAATGTCAAATAGATCTGGCAGTTAATAACGAGAGATGGCGAAAGGGAAGTTGGGGTTACTGGAAATATTAGGGGAATATTTAAAGTTATTAAATGTTGAAAAAAAGAAGGCGGAAGTTTTATTCATAGGACAAAATGGAATAAGATCTGGAAGGAATTAGATCTGGAAGGAATAAGATCTGGAAGGAATAAGATCTGGGAGGAATAAGATCTGGAAGGAATAAGATCCGGAAGGAATAAGTTCTGGAAGAATAAGATCTAGGAGGAATAAGATCTGGAAGGAATAAGATCTGGAGGGAATAAGATCTGGAAGGAATAATATCTGGAAGGAATAAGATCCGGAAGGAATAAGTTCTGGAAGGAAAAAGATCTGGAAGGAATAAGATCTGGAAGGAATAAGATCCGGAAGGAATAAGTTCTGGAAGGAATAAGATCTAGGAGGAATAAGATCTGGAAGGAATAAGATCTGGAGGGAATAAGATCTGGAAGGAATAAGATCTGGAAGGAATAAGATCCGGAAGGAATAAGTTCTGGAAGGAATAAGATCTAGGAGGAATAAGATCTGGAAGGAATAAGGTCTGGAAGGAATAAAATTTGGAAGGAATTAGATCTGGATGGAATAAGCTCTGGATGAAATAAGATCTGGATATAATAAGATTTGGATGGAATAAAGAAGAGCCAAAAGGTTGTGTGGGATGAATGAAATGAAGTAAAAAGCTGATATTGATGGGATTAAGACTGACATTCTAAACTCAGGAAAAGATATAGTTACTGAAGGGTTATTTTATTTGTTAATCAAATGTAAAAAAAAAAAGAAAAACTCCCCTTCATTTTCGGGTCACTCTGCCTAAGTGGAAGACAATCGGTGTTGAAAAACAAATGTGTGAAAGATGGAAAATGACAAAGATCGACAAAAAAAAATTAATAATTCGTTTGTACGAGGGATTGTAAGACCTATAGAGGAAGAAAACTGTTGAACGTAACGGGTAGTCTCAAGCGTTTGGAAGAATAATTACTTTAAACGTTTGGGTTGCACAGTAACAAGGAGGATTCTGGAAGGGTAGAGGATGTGTAGAGAAAGTTGTTACATTGAAGCAAACAAGTGAAGAAAACTTAGGTATGAGTAGTGGACTGCTTGTTGAATTTATGGATTCAGAAAAAGTATGATAAAGTGAAGATGGAAGCAGTGTGACAGATGCTGCAAATGTATGGAATAGGAAGTACGGTATTAAAATAATGAAGAGATTTTAAGTAAAGAATGAGGCTCTGGTTACGGACTCCTGGAGGAAAAGAGACTATTTTCCATTAAAAGGCCTTAGATAGGATTAAGTTACATCATACAGTTATTTGTTATACTTATTGATAAAACAAGTACTAAAGAACAGAGTGTTGGGGAAGAGGAGTGGAATTAATAATTCTAATGCTATATGAGAGTTGTCACAGATGCTATTTGCACAAAAGACAGTACTTTTGGAAATTCTCAAGAGAAGTTGTAAAATCTTGTGAATGAATTTGTGAGGCTCTGAAAAAAAAAAGGAAATTTAAAGTGAACGTTAGAAATAGTCTAGGCATTTAAAGATTTGAGGGATGGAGTATGGAGGAGCGGTAGGATTAAAATATTTAGGAGTGGAGGCATCAGGAGATGGGTTTATGGCAAACAAAGTGAATCATAGACCAGAAGTTGAAAAACTGAAGGCATCTACTGAAATAAATTATCAGTTGGGTTAAAATGATAAACATTATAATAACTGTATTCAATACCGACAGGTACATGAGTAAGAAACATGTGCAACAGTTTGATACCTTTATTGACGAAATGTTTCGCCTTCTCAACAGGCTTTTACAGTCGAAAACAGAGAAGACAAGAAAAGCAATTGATGTAGGTAATATGACTCACGAAATCGTAATGACACGATTGCAAACAAACCATACCACGGGCGGCGATAGAACCTTATTGTGGCTAGCTGGCCCAGTGGCTAATGCGACGGTCTGGAGTTTTGAGACTCTCCGATCGCGGGTTTGATCCCCGCCCGTGGTATGGTTTATGTAGATAATATGAAGTGATCAATCCCTCAGCTTTCTTTTTCAAGGCTAATGTACTCATTACCCAATATTTACACCTTCACTACTTCAGTTGTCTACTGCGAATATTCATCGTAGAAGCCTACTGAGCAGGAGAAACATCTTGTTAGTTTAAGATAACAAACTGTTACTAATATGTTTTACCAAAAAATGGGAATGTTCTAGATTATAATGGTTAATGGTACCTATACTTTAAATGGGATGTGAGGCATGGTCTTTCAACGTTATGGAGAAGAGGCTGAAGGAAGTGGCGATGCCATGGTTGAGAGCAATTATGAGCACAGACGTTTGAAGACAATGTGAAGTTGACTCGACTCACAAAATTCGTCTTTGAAAACTTGCATTTGTGGTCACAGTGGTGCCTATGCTAACCTTCCTATGGTGTATAAATACACCTAGTTGGATGAATCTTATGGTAGCTAGCTGGCTCAGTGGCTAACGCGTCGGTCTGGAGTTTTATGACTCTCTGATCGCGGGTTCTAACCCCACCCGCGGTATGGTTTAATGTGAAGTTATTAAGGTATAATTCAGAGAGCTGAAGAGAGGTTGTCAAAATAGTTTGACCATTTAGAATTGATGAAAGAGGCTTTAACTCAGTGGAGACAAATGGTTTTTATGGTTTGAAGTGTTGTTGAAGGGAGAGCAAGGTAACATTTATGAAGCGAATCAGCGGAAACAGGTTAGCCAGATTTGAGTCCTAGAGGATGAAGGTACTGTGATTTTTGCACACATCTGGAGGAACAGCTTTTAAATTGATTATTATTTTTATTTACACAATAGTTTTACAAGGTTAGGTAAAGAGTTCCTACTTTTATTTACCATATAAGAGCTGTTACCCTCCTCATCTCATCTGAAAGTCTTTTTATTGTTATGAGACATAAAAATAGGGAATAGGAGGAGGCTGGAGCTATCTGTGATTCAATGATTTCATATGTTCGACTGACTTTATTTTATCGATGACATTATGCTTTGCGAACATGTGTATCGATTCAGAGTGATTCTCTTGATGTTTTGAGACAATATCGTGACATCTTGCTGTGTAGCTCTTCTCGCTGACCACGAAGTCGAGTCATGTGTGGCACCTTAACAACACTGGCCTTGTACATAACACTATGGCCACGCACATCCTCAATTGATATAGGCTCAGCTGACAGATTTGTTCCAGCATTATCATTATGGTACCTAAAACCATCATCATTTATGTTTACTCAGAAGCAAATGTAATCTGCCATCGTTTCCACCAAGCTGACACAGCTGAAATCTGGTGATTGATGTAACTGAAAGCAGCTGGCATTTCTTTCCTTGGATAACTGAATGTCAATGTATAGTCTTCAGCATATGCATGTGATTCTGGGATGATTTGATGGTCGTTGAAGTAGACATTCCACAACAATGGCCCGTATATACTTCTCTGTGGAACATTGGCATCAGTAGTGTTTTGTTGACTCTGTACCATTGAGAATTATTCTTAGATATCTACCTTAAAGGCATAGTGTAAGGCATAGGTAAGGCATAGTGCAGAACGAGCGACTCCTAGTGCTTTCAGTTTTGTCTAAAGTCTCTGGTGCCATACTATCGAAAGTCACTGCAATGTTTAATGCAACTATACAACTTAAGCCATACTGACGGTAACAAAGAAGCAAATGGTAGTCGAAAAATGCTGTCATCTGCGTTTTAAGAATCTTGCCAGTGATTGACAATAGTGATACTGATTTGTAGTTCCTGATTTCTGTTCTTATGTTTTTGTGAACGGGGACTACTTTCGCCTCTTTCCTCAGAGAAGGTCATTTACACTGTACTAGGCAATGAAAATATATGCGAGATAGAGGTGATGCTAGTTGGCCTGCTCGTCTACTCTTTGGGTCACCTTATATGTGCCTATAGCCTTAGTCTAGGGATTTAGGGAGAAGGAGAAGAAACACTTTACCCTGCTTTATTGTCACCTTGCTGGATCAGGAGTTTGCCTATTGGCAGCAAAGTGCTTAGCAAAGAGGTCAGTTTTCTCCTATCACCTATTAGAGACGGTCCCATCTTATCTATCTAGAGGTGGAATAATGTCAACAGATTTTGGAGCCTACTTTACCTTATGCCAGTTTTCTTTTTGTGTCAGCTTCCTATCTAGAGATGGTGCAGTTTTGGACTTATTCCATTTGCCGACAGGCTTACCTATGTAGGCTCCTCTATATGATAACGGAAACCGAACCAAGGCTGAGCTGAAGTCTTCGTCACATACAGCCAGTGAGGGATGCATTTGTGTTAGAGATTAAGGATATCCTCGGTGAAGGCATTCACTCGGTTAGCAACGCTGCCTTGGACAAGAGCATCGGAGGCGCAAGCTCTGAGCAAAGGGCTGGCCTATTTCCTCTTTCCCAAAGTCAGGTTGTGGGTGTAAATTCTTAACCTCGTTCTGTTTCAATCTTCAGTTTTATAAAAGAGACTGAATGTATTTCTTTTTTGGGTACAAATACGAAAAGCAAAATTTATAAATAGAAACAGGGTCTAAGCTGAATAAATTCTGTTATAAAGCCTATAGAAAATTACTGGTTTAGCAAAAGCACTGTAGATGAGCGGAAAAAATGCGAAGCAATGTTACTGAAGCGAGTAATTTAAATAGCTTTTTGAGTGAGTTAGGCATATATGTTTGGGGTGAGTAGGACCTTCCTAGAAAAGACTAGAAGGCCTAACACAGCTCTATCATGTTCATAATTATACAACTAAAAATGTAAGACAAGAGTGAAGAGAACTTACTGGGTGCTGGGTTCTCCTGGACAATAAGTGAGCTGATGTCTCTAGCCATCCCGCCCACACTTGTTGCCTGGCACATGTACGCCCCTGTGTCTGCGTAGCCAATGTTGCGTACCCTCAGCTGTGTACCGTTGCCGACCACCTCGTATTTGTGAGGAATGTCTACTCGCAGAGGCTCGTCATTCTTCAACCACTCAACCTACGGAGGTAGGGCAGTCACAAAACATATTTAGTAGATCTATGTCAAAAAAAAATCACAAACACACACACACACACACACACACACACACACACACACACAATGCTCATCAACATTAAGGCCAATTATGGTGCTTAATTTGTACATCAAATAAATATTATTCTAAAAGTTGCAGTTGGAAACTTTGCCAACATCTGGGTTCAATATATACACTATCCACTTTAACATTTTGTATACAACTTAGCTACTGAACTAATTATGGGTGTGAGTGAATTACCTGGTTTGTGTGTTTTGATTTAGTCGCTCTCGTACAAATATGGTAATAACGGGTTGGTTGTCTTAATTTCTAATTATTTCATCATTGCCTCTCAATAGTCGTTTAACTGTTTTATTAAAACTCTTCCTAAGCGAATCTAATAGATTGTTTCTCACATATAAAGTGTCTGCATTTCTCGAAATACCAGTCATAATACTCTGGTAATCACTGTTATTTACAGTCACCACTGCATTTTCTAGTAAGATTATAATTTGTTATTGTGCTCACTGCAAACCATTCTTACATTGTCGTAACAATAACATAAGATACTCTGTTATCATTCCTTTAACATAGCTTGCTTAAAGATAATTGGAATTATAGTATTTTAAATGTTTCTTTTACTTCATTTTAAAAAGTTTCAATGTTTCGCTGGAATTATTCTCCCCAAGTTATCTAACAGTCGATGTTTCATGTCAAGAAGAGAGATTTGGAAAAAAAAAAACTTGTTCATTGTGACTCTTTCTCAGCCTACGTGAGTTGACCAAGTTCAAGATCGTTTATGGAAGAATCTTTTGACGAGTCGTATGGTTTCCATTAATGTACTAGACACAAGAGACATATCAACATTCCATATAACCACAGTAATAAAAATATTAAGCGAATTTCGAGGTGATCAGAAACATTCTCAGGGTATAGCAGAGTAAGTGAAGAATAAGGCGGCGGCTTATTTACCCAAGAAGCAACAACCTCAGTTTCTTCTTAGAAATAATTCCTAAGATTCAGATGGTAATAGTTTTAATAAAACAATAAAATTATTAAAGAAAAAATAAGAACAAAAGAAAGAAGGAACACTGCAGCAGGCCCACTGACCCATGCGAAGCAGGTACATGTCACCCCCCCCGGCTTTGACCAATAAGCCACTTAGTCAGGTCACTTAAGGAAGGAGCACAGCATCAGACTTAGTAGCACGATCTAGTCAGGTCCAACTCACACCCACCCACACCCACTCATGTATTTATCTAACCTATTTTTAAAATACACAACGTTTTAGCCTGAATAACTGTACTCGGGAGTTTGTTCCACTCATCCACAACTCTATTACCAAACCAGTGCTTTCCTACATCCTTCCTGAATCTGAATTTTTCCAGCTTGAAACCATTGCTGCGAGTCCTGTCTTGCCTGGATATTTTTAGCACGCTATTTACCTCCCCTTTATTAATTCCTGTTTTCCATGTATACACCTCAATCATATCCCCCCTAATTCTACGCCTTTCGAGAGAGTGCGGATTCAGGGCCCTCAGTCTATCCTCATAGGGAAGATTTCTCATACATGGGATCATCTTTGTCATCCTCCTCTGTACATTTTCCAGAGCATTTATATCCATTCTGTAATACGGTGACCAGAACTGAGCAGCATAGTCTAAATGAGGCCTAACCAAGGATATATAGAGTTGAAGAACAACCTGAGGACTTCTATTATTTATACTTCTAGATATGAAGCTAAGAATTCTGTTAGCTTTATTGCGAACACTAATGCACTGTTGTCTTGGTTTTAGATTACTGCTAACCAGAACTCCTAAATCCTTTTCGCAATCAGTAGTATTAAGATCTACATTATTTAGTTTATATGTGGCATGGTTATTTAACTGTCCAACATTTAGAACTTTGCATTTGTCAATATTAAACTGCATCTGCCACTTCTCCGACCACTGCATCAGTCTATTCAAATCATCCTGAGTGTTCTAATGTCCTCATTAGAATGAATTGGACGGCCTATTTTGGTATCATCAGTAACTTTGCTTATGTCGCTATTTATTCCCTCATCTATGTCGTTATTGTAAATTGTGAACAACAAGAGGCCCAACACTGACCCCTGAGGAACACCGCTTGTGACGTGCCCCATTCTGATTTCTCCCCATTTATGCAAACTCTTTGCTACCTATTTGTCAACCATGCCTTCACCCAGGAAAAAATTTCTCCTCCTATTCCGTTTGCCGTAAGTTTCCCCAATAGCCTCTGGTGTGGAACTCTATCGAAATCTTAGTGAAGTCCATATACACAATATCATATTCATTACCATGATCTACCTCCTCAAACACCTTAGCAAAAAAAGTTAGTAAATTCGTAAGATAGGAACGCCCCTTTGTAAAACCGTGTTGAGATTCATTAATCAATTTATGCCTTTCAAGATGGCTACGAATTGTTTCAGCAATTATTGATTCCATAAATTTTCCCACTATGGAGGTAAGACTTATTGGTCTATAGTTCGAAGCCAAGGACCTGTCACCTGCCTTGTAAATAGGTATTACATTTTCCATTTTCCACTTATCAATCACTATGCCAGTTTGAAGTGATATGTACAAAAGATTAGACAAAGGTTTGGTAAGTTCCTCTTTACATTCCTTTAAAACTCTTGCAAACAGTTCATCAGTGCCTGGGGATTTGTTAGGTTTTAATTTCTGTATTTGTCTGAGGACCATGTCACTAGTTACCCCAATCGTGCTAAGTTTATTATCGTCCTGTTCTACATAATTTATAATTTTTGGAATTTCGCTAGTATTTTCCTGAGTAAAAACTGAGAGGAAGTAAGTATTGAAAATTTCACAGATATCCTTATCATTGTCAGTTATCTGACCTGAATTATTCTTAAGTAGGCCTATCTTGTCCCTAATCTTACTTCTGTATACCTGAAAGAACCCTTTTGGGTTAGTCTTCGAATCCCTTGCAACCTTAGCCTCATAACCCCTTTTTGCTTTTCTGATTCCTTTTTTTTATTTCTCTCTTTAATTGAATATATTGATTTCTTAACTGCCCATCCCCTCTTTTGACCAATGAGATGTTTTAATCTATTGTTCATCCATTTCGGATCATTTTTGTTAGATCTAATTTCACTACTTGGAACATAAGTTGTCTGGCAGCTAGAACTATGCTCTGAAAAACCTACCTGATCCATAGTCAGGTCATCGCAATTTAGCCCACCCAGGTAATTTCTCATTCCCATGAAATCGGCCAAGCGATAGTCTGGGACAGAGACTTGATTGCAGTTATCTGGCCATTCCATGATATATTAAAACTAAGTGATTTGTGATCGCTTTCCCAAAACTCATCATTAACCTTAAGATTATTAATTAGTGAATCTTTGTTGACAAGAACCAAGTCAAGCAGACTGTTTCTCTAGCTGGTTCTGTCACAAATTGTTCTAAAAAGCAAACCTGAACCGTATCAAGAACGTCACTAGACTCAAGATTTCCCGTCACATTGTTCCAATCAATTTGTATAAAGTTAAAATCTCCCATTATCACAATATTTTCATATCTAGACGCCTTATGAATTTCGTTCCATAACAGCTTACTGCCCTCCCTGTGAAGGTTTGGGGGCCTATAAATCACACCCAGAATTAATTTGTTACGACCCTCGAGAAACTGTAGCCAAACAGATTCTGTGTTCGATGTTTCTAATCTTACATCATGTCTAACACAACAATTTAAATTATCTCTGACATACATCGCAACTCCACCACCCTTCCTGTTGACCCTATCAGTTTGGATTTTTGTATGTTGCATTCAGAAGGCATTTCTCTATCTTTCAGGTTGAACCAGGTCTCTGTTACAGCAATAATATCTATATTACCTGCACTTGCAAGTAATCTTAGCTCATCTATCTTATTTCTTAGACTCCTACTATTTGTATAGTAAACCTTATGCAGCCCATTGTTACCAGCTCTCTACTGCTCGGGCTGTGGAGCTTCTAGTAAGGAAGTTTCGGAAACAGTACTTCTGTACATGTTTTCCGTCAGAGCCACCACCTGTAACCAAACTGACTCTTTCTACTGCTTTAGCAGTAAATCTATTCTTACTCCCTCAAAGCCATATAGTCTTTAAATTCAGATTAAGACGTAATACACGACTGTAAATAAACAGGAAGATGAACAAGAGAGTCGAACCATGGTCCCAAGACTAACAGGTGTAGCACTCTATGGAGAATCTAAAAGGGAAGATTAAAGAAACAGTACTTCTGTACATGTTATTGTACTTGATTCTTTACCTTCCTATCTCCCCAACACCCGAGCATTCACTTCTCTTACAACCATGGATACATCACGAATCCTTTTCAAAGGCCTACTTTTACTGGAAAATATTTATCGTCTTTCTAACATCCTCATAAAAACTCTTAATGCTTTCAGTAACCTACCACCTATTCCATACACTTGCAACATCTGCCACATTATTCCCTTTTCCATTCTATCATATCAGTTTACAAAATTAATAAATGCAACAAAAACTTCCTTATCCATATCTAAATATTGTTCACCAATATGCTTCACTGTAAACACTTGGGCTACACATCCCCTAGCCTTCCTAAAGCCACCTTGTTCATCTGTGATCCTGCTCTCCGTCTTACCTTTAACTCTTCCAATAATAACTAACACACACCTTACAAGGTCTACCCAACAGGCTTATACCCCTATAATTCTCACAGTTTCTTTATTAATCTCACTTCAAAACTTTTTCTTATTCTGTTGATAGCATCTCACCCACTATTTCATTTGATTTTCTTTTACATTCTCTAACCACTCTCTTAACCTCTCTTTTACTTTCCATATACTCCTCCCTCCTTATATCACGTTTTCTCTCTTATCACTCTACCTCATCATTCCACTCGTATTCCCTACCGCACCCACTCTCCTATATCCACAAAATTCTGCTGAACAATCTAACATTGCATTTTTAAATCTACCAAAACTCTTGAAGCTTCTCATTTTCTATACTCTTACTTGCCCATCTTTCTACCAATAGTTGCTTCTAACTTACCATAGCTACCTCCTTTAGTTTATAAACTTTCACTTCTCTCTCTCTTACTCTCTGATGGCATTCTCCTTGTACCCCAACTACCTTTCACTCGAACTCTAGGTAAAACTAAAAATGATCTGATATATCTATTTTCCCTCTATAAACATGCACTTTCAGATGTCTACCCATCAACCTTTTATCTACCAAAACACAATTCAACAAACCATTGTCATTACTCCCTATATCATATGTTGTATACTTATCATCGTTTTTCTTAAAATATGCATAACATATTACTAAATCTCTTTCTATACAAAGTTCAATCAATAGCTTCCATTATCATTTACAACTGGTACCCCAAACTTACCTAATACGCGCTTTTCAACCGTTTCCCATGTTTAGTATTTAGTTCTCCTACCACAATTACTCTCTCACTTGGTTCAAAACTCCCTAAATATACGATTAGCATTTGCCGGGTGTGCTACAGGGAATGTGCACTCAATCCCTGAAATGGCAACATCCGTGCACACAATGGATGACTAGGCTCCAGGAGAACTCCTAATGAGAACAACCAACAGCCCCTCCCAGCAGACAGCGCTGACAACTACCGTGACTTCACCTCTACAGAGGACCTCAAATCTGCAATCAAATTAGCATCCACCAGGACTCTGACACACATCCCCAAAGTAGCTCGCCCTCAAGCTGCTTGCAAATTCACTGACCTTCTGAAGATAGTCAACGATGCTCCTTCAAACAACAGATCATGGCACAACCTGCTGCTTTTTGGCAATGCCTGTTTGGCTGTCCCACCAAGAAGGGACAAGTCACTAGCGACACATGTTATTAGGGCAATAAATGCATTCCCAAGGGATGACAACCTCGTCCGTCTCCCTCCTAGGGCGTCAAACACCCGCCGGGCAAATGTCAACAACAGGACACCCGATGCCTCAAAAATCAGACCCCAAATTAGCAAAAAAATAGAAGAGGGTAATACTATTGGAGCTCTGAGGCTTATAACCAGTGAGGATACCATGCTCCCAAGGACGTCAGCACGGCGTAAGCTCTGAAGGACAAACATACACCCAGGGCTCCCAGTACCAACATTGACCTCCCTGATATTGCAGCAGGCGAAGAACATCTAACCTTACAGGATGCTGATGTGTATAAAGCTGCTATGTCATTTCCACAGAGCTCAGCAGGAGGTTTCACCGGTTTAAGGCCTCAACACTTAAAACAAATACTCAATCCAGCACTTGGTGAGGTTTCAGAGAGGCTGCTGTCTGAACTCACCAAATTTTCCAACCTGTGCCTGGCAGGCAGTGTCCCAGAGGCCATCAGACCCCTTTTCTTTGGTGCCTCATTGTGTGCCCTCCGAAAAAAGGATGGCGGAATCAGGCCCATTGCAGTGGGCAACACCCTTCGGCGCCTAGTCGCCAAGGCTGCAGTAAGAAGGGTGAGTCAAGAGGCTGCTGAAATGCTGAAACCAACTCAGCTCGGTTTCGGCGTTCAACAGGGCTGTGAAGCAGCCGCCCACACAGCACGAGTATATATAAAAAATATGTCTGATGAAAAAGCCTTGATCAAATTGGACTTTGCCAACGCTTTCAACTCAGTCAGAAGGGATGCTGCTCTCCAAGCAGTTTATAGAAACTTCCCTTCCCTTCATCCCTTCATAGAATCGTGTTATAGTGTGACTTCCAAACTATTGTTTGGGGACCACGAAATTTACTCATGTGAGGGCGTGCAAAAGGGGGACCCTCTCGCCCCCTTTCTATTCTGTTTGGTCATCAAGGAAGTCACAGAAGCACTCTCCAGCGAGCTCAATATCTGGTTCCTGGATGATGGTACCCTAGCTGGCACAACAGAATCTCTCCTAGAGGACATCAGTAAAATTAAAGACATGGGAGAAAGCCTGGGCATTTCTTTAAACCCCACCAAATGTGAAATAGTTTCTACCAATCGACAGATGATTCAGAATATTAGCGCCGTTTTACCAGGAGCACGAGCCATTGATCCAGCCAATAGCACTCTCCTTGGTGCTCCTCATGGGTCCAACGCCATCGATCTGATCCTAGAAAAAAAAGCCTCAGACCTCCGGACGATGGAAAGCAGGATGAAAGACACTGACACACACGATGCCTTCTACCTACTCACCAGGTGCCTGTCAATCCCAAAACTTACCTACTTTCTGAGATGCTCCCCAGCCTTCAGCAGTCCAAAACTCAAGGAATATGACTCTCTCCTTAAGACCAAGCTAGAGAGTGCATTGAATCTTTCCCTTGAAGATGGACAGTGGTTGCAAGCCTCACTTCCGGTCAGGCTTGGAGGGCTAGGAGTACGCAGATCCTCCCAGATTGCTCTACCAGCTTTCCTATTCTCTTCCATAGCATCAAACGAGTTGATTAGATAAATTCTTCCTGATACCCTCAGTGACTCAGCAGGAATAGAAGACCCTAGCTATGCCAGTGCCATCACTGAATGGGAGACTCTTGCTGCTCCAGCACCAAACCCTAGTGCAGCACTGGCTCACAAACAGTCAAGCTGGGATGGCCTGATCGCTGAAAAGGTGCTTGCCAACATGCTCAGGGCTGCAACATCAGATAGGGAGACTGCCCATCCCCAGGCTGTGAGCGCACATCACTCTGGGGACTTCTTCCAAACAGTTCCCATATCGGCAATGGGAACGCGACTCGACCCTAAGACCATCCGTATTGCAGTGGCTCTGTGCCTTGCTGCCCCAATTCACACAGAATATACGTGTATTTGCGGCGAAGTGCAAGCAGACCAGTACGGTCTACATGGTCATAACTGTTCCAAAACCAAGGGCTGGCATGCAAGACACAATGAGGTCAACATCTTTAAGAGAACCCTTGCTACAGCTGGATGCCCAGCCGAGAGGGAGCCCCGATCACCAGCAGCCAACAATACCCAAAACCCAGCACACCGCCCCGACGGGATCACCATCTATCCTTGGAAGAATGGCAAGCTCTTAGCATGGGACTATATCTGTGTGTCCACACTGGCTGACACCTATATCCATCACAGTGTGGGGCAACAGGGAGGAGCTGCTGACCACAGGGATGAGTGCAAGATCAGCAAGTACGGGAACATAAGCCAACAGTATCAATTTGTCCCAGTGAGATCGGAGACCTTGGGATCATGGGGAAAAAATGCCACACGTTTCCTTAAAGAATTGGGTTCCAGACTCATTGACACCACCAGGGACCCAAGGGCAGCCACTTTTATGTTCCAGCGCCTCAGCGTGGCCATCCAAAAGGGAAATGCTTGCTGCATACTTGGCTCGTGTCTGGCCTTGGAGGAGCTGGAGGAAATTCATGATCTTTGATACATTGTGCCATTGTAGTCATGTTTGTGTTTTTCTGTAAATGTATTCTGTTTATTAATAAATGTTCACATAGAATATAAAACATATAGGGGATGGTAGGAGAAGAAAATATTCAAACAGCTCGGGGGAGAACCTTGAGTTTTCCCTGAGGTACGTTTATTGTCTTCTGAGGATGAGGGTCCCCATTCCAGCCTTAGAGGTGGTACTTCCCTATATTAAATATATATATATATATATATATATATATATATATATATATATATATATATATATATATATATATATATATATATATATATATTCACAAAATAAACGATAAAGGAGCAGCAAGTTACCTTTGGAAAGGGCTCTCCAGTGGCTCTGCAGCTCATGATGGCTTCCTCGCTTGGCCGTAAACTTTGGATGTGGGGTGTCACCTGCACCGTAGGAACAGCTGTAAACAAGCGTTTAGGTTACTAAAGGACTTCTGACATTTGTGATTACTGAAGAAATAATTTACTGAAAAGTTATTTCAAATGTGGTTTTAAGATGTGAAACAATCATGTATGTGTGCGTCTATTACGGAATAATTTTCTTGCTTTCACAGATGTTTATTGAGGTTACTATGTGTAGTGAAGATGAGAGTTCTGGGACAAATGTGTCCTAACGGAAATTTCGTTTATTTAAAACAAAATTTATATCAAATTCTAACTCGGCAAGAATTTCTGGGAAGAATTCTAAGAAGAGGGATACACGCAGCGCCAACTTTGTTTGATGACACACATACTTCCGATAGTTATGAAGACAGACGCAAGCTACAAAACAAGTTGTGTACACCTTTAATAAGTCATGAATTTCATGACTTGATAAAAGCACAACACAGAGCGAAAGGTTCTCCCAATTTTAGTTAGTTCTAAAACGCGTTCTTTTGACTTACTGTGCACTGTGAGGATGTGGGTCTGGACGACATCTTTGTTGCGGTCTGCGTGGCAGGTGTAGTTGCCGGCGTGGACCAGCTGGAGCCGCGTCAGGTACAGAGACCCATCCATGAACACACGGATGTCCTGCCACACAACCAACACAAAATTAATTAAGGGTTCGCCACAAAGATTAAAAAAAAATCTGTGGCTTACTTGATAGGGAAAATTAGAGAGAAAATGAATTCCTAATCTTATTGGATTATTTTTTATTATTTCAGTAAGAGAGAGAGAGAGAGAGAGAGAGAGAGAGAGAGAGAGAGAGAGAGAGAGAGAGAGAGAGAGAGAGATAGACAGAGACAGATAGACGGAGACAGATAGACAGAGACAGGCAGACAGAGATACATAGACAGACAGAGACAGACAGATAGAGAGACGCTGTTTTATTGTATTGTACTGTCTCTCAACTGTCTACCACATTAGTCATTAGATCAAAATAATAATACCGACAAGTTGATAACAAAGATAAATGTGCAACACCCGGATAAGCTTCACCTACACATCAGGCTTTATCAATCTTATGCAGAGGCATGAGAGTGTACACTTTAATATTGGAGTGGAGACATGCAGCACCTGAAGATAAGGGGACATGTGGGTGGGGCCCACTAGTGAAAGTAAGTCAGGTCCCTTTGGTGGCCCAGAGATTTAGCAATGGAGCTTTAAACGATAAAGAGAGATGCGGGAAAAACAGAATTATGTAATAGGGAACTTCCTCATTTCCTTTGCTATATCTCTGTCCCCCCTCATAAGCATAACCTATTTTCCCTAGTGTGTTTCACCAGCATGTGACTATGTGTTCAACAACTGCATCTCAACACTCCAGTGTAACAGCTTCCATCTTCATGCCTCTATGTTAGGTTGATACATCTAGTTAGGAAGGTGCCGTACTCTTGTGCATGTGTCTAAAGCTTTAAGACTTCTGTTGGTCCCTTGAAGGCTCTAGATCCTGGAAATTGTAGCTATCCTCTACCTCCTTGGATCAAACCGTATCATTATTATTATTATTATTTCTACTAGGTATTCCCGAAGGAGGATCTTCAAATGGTTATCAGAGTTAGTTACTTTTTCTTTTCTTCCTCAAACATTTCTTTTTCTTTCGCTCAAAACTCGATAGCACCTCATTCCATCAGTATCATACATTCAGCGCATGTGGTCGGTAAAGAGAACTAGATTCTTGAAATGCCTGGCATGTGCAGGGCCTTTGTGACCAGTGTTGTTGAAGCCATTCCCAGCAACCTGGAATGTCTCTAAGAACTTGCTGACCTCTCAGCCACGCAGCTTCAGACTTTCAGGAACGTTGTCTCTTAACTCGACGACGGCGGAGAATGAAATTCAGGTGTGTAAGTGCAGACTGATACTTTATGTGTAAATAATTATGATTTATTATATTAAAACATCAGCAGTTTCAGACCGGGGCAAGGTGACCCGAAAAAGAAAAAAACACTTTCATCATATCTCACGGCATCACTGCCTTGCCAGAGGCATGCCAGCACTACAGTTAAAAAACTGCAACTTAAGTTTTTATTCCCATTATATCACATTAAATATATTATATATATAAGGATTGCTTCAGTATTTAATGGGCGAAACATCTTATGGTCAGGGTAGAACCAATTAAGTTTGAAGTGTTTTCAAATCTGTCAGTATAATAATATAATTCAAATTCTTGGAATCCTTGTAATCTGTACCATTACTAACGAATGCCTCTTCCGATGGGCTTCAAATTTTCTAGACAAGTGTTGCTTTCTGGACACATGATCGCCATTGTTACTGGATGACATAAATCTCAAATTGCTCTGTTTTAATAGTGATAGTCATTTATATTCAATAAAGAAGAGTTAATGGTTATATATCCTATAACAAGAATGATACTCCTTAATAACTTTAATCTGAGTAAGAATAATTTTGATGTTTTACTGAAACTTACAAAAAAAAAACCTGGAATTGATGAAGGCAGATCAAATATTGAATAATGTCTTCTGATCGGCTTCAAACTTCACTATTGGTGGCTTTAATAAAGTAAAACTTGGCACTCACTTTCAACTGTGAAAATTTCAATTTGTCAAGTTTATTAAATAAATAGTTTCCAAAGTAATAGCTGAAGAATTCTGATTCTGAATGGCTTCAAACCCTAAACTCCGTCATATCATAACTGGAAGTATTTTTTCCTTAATTTTCGGTTGTTTAGGTGACCTTTTGTCATTTTTAGCAAATTTTATCAAATTAGATATTTTTATATAAGAATAATATTTTTTTACAGGATTGTAGAGAATCTGAAATTGAATATAAATGAGAAAAGAAAACTGAGACAATAATAATTTGCATTTAATGGCATTTTTAAGTTTAACAGTGATAGATTTTCCTAATTTCGGAACATTCTACTCAAGATATTTTTTCTTTCTCAAAAACCATTTGTTTATATACAAAAGCAAAATGCCTTATTCTACCAGCTTCAAATTATCAACATTGATTTACAAAATATAGGACAAGATTCACGGGATCATTTCCATTATTGGATATCTTGTGGTAAATGTTACATACGTTATTCCCATATTTTGTTCCCGTGTGATAATTGAAAAAAAGCCTCTTCTGTTTGGTTGAGAATTTCAACACTAACGTATCTTACCTTGAAAGTTTATATACTTAATGTGTGGTGCTATTTTGCCACTTTTAATCTCAAAATGGCTTAGTATTATTTTATGTTATCACAATATTTTAAGATAATGCTGGTGAGGGGCTCTTCTTCTAAAGAAGAGGACTTATCTTCCTCTTATTTGGAATGAATCTGAGTGTCTCTCATTCAACAGCCTCAGTATAACTTCTGATTAAACTAAAATGTTTGTGACAGGCATCAAACTTTAATTTTTTATTCTTTGTGTGAAATCAATATAACGTTTCATAGCTTTAGTCTCTGTAGGTGCAATTATTTTTACAATTTTCTTATAATTGGAATATACATCTTCTGGTCAGGTTTAAACTTTTACTGTTGGTATATTTTCCTCAAAGGAAGGTGTGTCTTGAAGTTAGGTTCAGTAAATTATCATTAGCCAATATTATTAATAAAAAAAATTTTGTGCAGTAATTTGTGCAATGACTGGACTATCATAGGTTTAATTAACATAATGTACACTTATGTTCCTATTATGGCTGAGTGCCCTCAAGTTTATGTTTTAAGATCTGTATTTATTGTACATAAAACTTTTAAAAGACACTCAATTACGTCCTTATTTATTTCCTTATTTTCTGTACTTTCTTACATAAAATCTGGTCATTCTTAAAAAAATATTTTGACAAATTTTTGTGTCTGTGGGTCTCAATTTGCTTTTTATGAAGGCATTGGGAAAACTGAATTAGGGTACTTTTTTCAATGCGATCATTTCTGAGTATCATATCCAATTAGCTTCAACCGCTTAACGTTGATAGCTTAATGATACAATTACTGAAAAGTTCCAAGCTTAATGTGCTTTAGTATTTTAGGATACTGGTCCCTCTAAGATAACAAGAAATTGCCTCTTCAGTTTAGCTTCTAGTTAACTGTCTTTCTTCATGGAAGCCTTGAATTAGATATGATCTGTATATGTCCTAATTTGCCATTTTTATTGAAGAAATCTGGATATTCGTTTTCATGTGATGACTTGTTAATGTCTTTCCTGATTCACTTTAGATCTTCATTTAGCTGCATTTGGGAAATTATGTCGCATTCTGCACAGTTGAAATCACGTGGGTTGACGCATGGAACAGAGTTATTCGATACGGAGGATACCTTTCTCGGATCTCTCAAAGACCGAAATACATTAATAAAATAATAATAATTATATAATATACTACTATACTATAATAATAATAATAATAATAATAATAATAATTATAATTATTATTATTATTATTATTATTATTATTATTGTGTAATATTCTGCTTTACATAAACAATACATTATCACTCACCAGAAATCAACACAATATCACTGGCACAGAGCCACAAGCTGGTCCTGTGACTGTAAGTGCAGAAATCCCTATAGAAGCATCGATTAAGGTATTAATAGAAGAAACTTTTCACCGGAAGTGAGGAAACAGTTTTTAATTAAATGTCTTAATCTGTGCATATGTATCTCTCTCCACAACTTGACGTTATTACCATATCAATCCAATCCTCCCTCAATTTTTATTGCTGGCCAATCCTCACCTCAGAGTTGAGGGCTGCCAGGTCCAGACCATTCCGTCGCCAGACGATGGGCGGTGTGGGCGTGCCTGTAACGTCGCATTTGATCTCCAGGTTGTCACCCACTCTGGCAGAGACGTGGTTGACCTCCAAGGCTTTATCGAGGGAGACCACTGACACACCTGCACGTGGGAGAGAGACAGATGCTTAGCGAGAGAGAGAGAGGGAGGGTGACACAGGAAGGTCAGATAATGCTCGGAAGATACCACCGTCATGAGTAGAGTGTTATAGCAACACATTAATAGCATTTAACAAGAAAATTTTTCGCTCAGAGCAGAGCTTTTCAAAATCATGATTTTAACTGTGAGCGAAACATTATCCGCTACAGTGTTTGTAAGCGTCCTTCAGCCTCTCAAACAATGGCCGGAGTGTGTTAGTATGAGACGGTGGATGATGATGGAAGAAGAGAACGGGGTGTATAGAGAGGGCGATGAATGTGCAGGAGGAATTTGCTGCATTAGTTGGGTGGTCAATGGGAGATGGTAGAGTGAGGGAAAATAATGAAGAGGGGCAAGAACAAGTGATTAATCGAAGAGAAGGGATAATAAATAACAGGGGGTACTGAAAGGGACAAGTGTTTAGTGAGAGAGAGGATGGGAGATAAATTTAAGAAGAGGAGAAATGTTTGCGAGAAATAAGGCTTCTTAGATAGACAGACAAACATACATACATCCAGACAGACAGACAGACAGAAAAATAGACAGAAAGATAGACAGGTACATATATAATTTGAGAGATTGACTATTAGTGAAAAAGAATCATCCAGAAATACATGACATTTAGTCATGAAGCATATATTATAAACACATAGGTAAAAAAAGATAAAAGACTGATAACATGTCAATACGATGAAAAAAGTCACATCCAGTGAACAGTAATAGAAGTCACGAAGGTAAAGTTGCACAACGTTAACGAGAAATACAAATCTGAATTAATAATCAAATCAATGTAAGATCAGAACTAAAGAAGGATTTGACTGAAATGTTACAGTTTTTGGTCATTATAAAATCATCTAAATGTTTTAATAGGAAACCTTCGGCTGTACAGTATGCTGATGAATATCGACTTTCTTAGGTGTTTCACATATATATATATATATAATATACAATATATATATATATAGATTATATATATTATAATATATATTTATATAAAATATATAATATTTATATAATAATATATATATATATATATCTATATATATATATTATATATATATATATATATATATATATATATATATATATATATATATATATATATATATATATATATATATATATATATATATATATATATATATATATTTATACATTATTTTTATTTTCTTTATTAACACATCGGCCGATTCCCACCAAGGCAGGGTGGCCCGAAAAAGAAAAACTTTCATCATTAATCACTCCATCACTGTCTTGCCAGAAGGGTGCTTTACACTACAGTTTATAAAACTGCAACATTAACACCCCTCCTTCAGAGTGCAGGCACTGTACTTCCCATCTCCAGGACTCAAGTCCGGCTTGCCGGTTTTCCTGAATCCTTTCATAAATGTTACGTTGCTCACACTCCAACAGCACGTCAAGTATTAAAAACCATTTGTCTCCATTCACTCCTATCAAATACGCTCATGCATGCTTGCTGGAAGTCCAAGCCCCTAGTACAGAAAACCTCCTTTACCCCCTCCCTCCAACTTTTTCTAGGCCCACTCTTACCCCACCTTCCCTCCACTACAGATTTATACACTCTCGAAATCATTCTATTTCGCTCCATTCTCTCTAAATTTCCGAACCACCTCAACAACCCTTCCTCAGCCCTCTAGACAAAAGTTTTGGCAATCCCGCACCTCCTAACTTCCTAACTACGAATTCTCTGCATTGTATTCGCACCACACATTGCCCTCAGATATGACATCTCCACTGCCTCCAGCCTTCTCCTCGCTGCAACATTCATCACTCATGCTTCACACCCATACAAGAGCGTTGGTAAAACTATACTCTTGTACATTCCCCTCTTTGCCTCCAAGGACAAAGTTCTTTGTCTCTACAGAATCCTAAGTGCACCGCTCACCCTTTTTCCCTCATCAATTCTATGATTCACCTCATCTTTCATAGACCCATCCGCTGACACGTCCACTCCCAAATATATGAATACATTAACCTCCTCCATACTCTCTCCCTCCAATCTGATATCCAATCTTTCATCACCTAATCTTTTTGTTATCCTCATAACCTTACTCTTTCTTATATTCACTTTTAATTTTCTTCTTTTACATACCCTACCAAATTCGTCCACAACCTCTGCAACTTCTCTTCAGAATCTCCCATAAGCACAGTGTGATTAGCAAAAAGTAACTGTGACAACTCCCACTTTGTGTTTGATTCCTTATCTTTTAACTCCAGACCTCTTGCCAAGAACCTCGCATTCACTTCTCTTACAACTCCATCTATAAATATATTGCACCACCGTGACATCACACATCCTTGTCTAAGGCCCACTTTTACTAGGAAATAATTGTAGATGAATGGTTCACAGAACCGACACGTTGATAAATTAGACACAAGTGCAACTCTTGGGTATGTTGTGTAAGACAGGTATACAATACCGACAAGATGAAAGTTAAGACACTTGTGCAACATCTGGTTATCTTTATTGTAAACGTTTCGCCATCCAGTGGCTTTATCAATACAAATTCTTGGACATAATTAGAAAACAGAAGAACTATATACAAAAGATGAGGTAATCAGTCCCTCAGCCTTGGAGGTGGTGTTTACAACACCGTGGTTGTAGAGATTCTGAAGCACAGGTAAGGAGATTGGCGCTTATATAGGCGTCAGTGAAGAGAGACGTGTAGCAGACGAGGGCATAGTCACTGGTAGGCGGGAATCCCTCTCTTCACTGACGCCTATATAAGCGCCAATTTCCTTACCTGTGCTTCAGAATCTCTACAACCACGGTGTTGTAAACACCACCTCCAAGGCTGAGGGACTGATTACCTCATCTTTTGTACATTGTTCTTCTGTTTTCTAATTTTTTTTTATTATTTTTTATTATCACACCGGCCGATTCCCACCAAGGCAGGGTGGCCCGAAAAAGAAAAACTTTCACCATCATTCACTCCATCACTGTCTTGCCAGAAGGGTGCTTTACACTACAGTTTTTAAACTGCAACATTAACACCCCTCCTTCAGAGTGCAGGCACTGTACTTCCCATCTCCAGGACTCAAGTCCGGCCTGCCGGTTTCCCTGAATCCCTTCATAAATGTTACTTTGCTCACACTCCAACAGCACGTCAAGTATTAAAAACCATTTGTCTCCATTCACTCCTATCAAACACGCTCACGCATGCCTGCTGGAAGTCCAAGCCCCCGCACACAAAACCTCCTTTAACCCCCTCCCTCCAACCCTTCCTAGGCCGACCCCTACCCGCCCTTCCTTTCCCCACTACGACTGATACACTCTTGAAGTCATTCTGTTTCGCTCCATTCTCTCTACATGTCCGAACCACCTCAACAACCCTTCCTCAGCCCTCTGGACAACAGTTTTGGTAATCCCGCACCTCCTCCTAACTTCCAAACTACGAATTCCTCTGCATTATATTCACACCACACACATTGCCCTCAGACATGACATCTCCACTGCCTCCAGCCTTCTCCTCGCTGCAACATTCATCACCCACGCTTCACACCCATATAAGAGCGTTGGTAAAACTATACTCTCATACATTCCCCTCTTTGCCTCCAAGGACAAAGTTCTTTGTCTCCACAGACTCCTAAGTGCACCACTCACTCTTTTCCTCATCAATTCTATGATTCACCTCATCTTTCATAGACCCATCCGCTGACACGTCCACTTCCCAAATATCTGAATACGTTCACCTCCTCCATACTCTCTCCCTCCAATCTGATATTCAATCTTTCATCACCTAATCTTTTGTTATCCTCATAACCTTACTCTTCCTGTATTCACCTTTATTTTCTTCTTTTGCACACCCTAACCAAATTCATCCACCAATCTCTCAACTTCTCTTCAGAATCTCCCAAGAGCACAGTGTCATCGGCAAAGAGCAGCTGTGACAACTCCCACTTTGTGTGTGATTCTTTATCTTTTAACTCCACGCCTCTTGCAAGACCCCCGCATTTACTTCTCTTACAACCCCATCTATAAATATATTAAACAACCACGGTGACATCACACATCCTTGTCTAGGCCTACTTTACTGGGAAAAAATTTCCCTCTTTCCTACATACTCTAACTTGAGCCTCACTATCCTCGTAAAAACTCTTCACTGCTTTCAGTAACCTACCTCCTACACCATACACTTGCAACATCTGCCACATTGCCCCCCTATCCACCCTGTCATACGCCTTTTTCCAAATCCATAAATGCCACAAAGACCTCTTTAGCCTTATCTAAATACTGTTCACTTATATTTTCACTGTAAACACCTGGTCCACACACCCCCTACCTTCCTAAAGCCTCCTTGTTCATCTGCTATCCTATTCTCCGTCTTACTCTTAATTCTTTCAATTATAACTCTACCATACACTTTACCAGGTACACTCAACAGACTTATCCCCCTATAATTTTTGAACTCTCTTTTATCCCCTTTGCCTTTATACAAAAGGAACTATGCATGCTCCTCTGCCAATCCCTAGGTACCTTAACCCTCTTCCATACATTTATTAAATAATTGCACCAACCACTCCAAAACTATATCCCCACCTGCTATTTAACATTTCTATCTTTATCCCATCAATCCCGGCTGCCTTACCCCCTTTCATTTTACCTACTGCCTCACGAACTTCCCCACACTCACAACTGGCTCTTCCTCACTCCTACAAGATGTTATTCCTCCTTGCCCTATACACGAAATCACAGCTTCCCTATCTTCATCAACATTTAACAATTCCTCAAAATATCCTTCCATCTTCCCAATACCTCTACCTCTCCATTTAATAACTCTCCTCTCCTATTTTTAACTGACAAATCCATTTGTTCTCTAGCTTTCTTAACTTGTTAATCTCACTCCAAAACTTTTTTCTTATTTTCAACAAAATTTGTTGATAACATCTCACCCACTCTCTCATTTGCTCTCTTTTTACATTGCTTCACCACTCTCTTAACT